TATAGGTATTCTAGTAAGATAGTAGAGTAACTTAGTACTAGATGAAATCTAGGTAATTTAAAGTAAACTTCCGAAAATTATTAGTAATTTAGAGAAAGTAATTTAAATATAATATAGCGGTTTAGGGAATCTAGAATACTATTAGAATTAGAAATAGAAATAGAAACTAGAACTTATATGATTATATTTCTTATTTATAAATTAGTACTATTTATATATTATATAGTTATTTACTTTAATATATCTAATATCCGGAAACTTAGTTATATTCTTAGAGTATTAAAAGTAATAAGGGCAAAATATAGCTATAGATATATTAGCTAAATAGTTAGTAATTTATTAGTATTAAGAATTATTTATCTTAATTAAGAATATAAATAAAGAAAGTAAAGAAGTCTTAAAGAAAGCTTAAAGAAAGCTTAGAAAAAAAGTTATAGAAAGAGATATATATAACTATATAGATAAGGAAAGAAAAGAAAAGTTAGTTTATAGAAAAAGAAAGCCTTTTTATACTCTTTTTTTCTAAATAGTAATTATAGATTTAGAACTAGAAGTTTCTAGAAATTTATAAAAGAAGGAATTTATAAATAAACTAGAAGATTAAATAAACTTCTCTAAGCTTAAAGAGTAATAAAATAATAACTAAATTATAAATAAAGGCTTAAACTAGAATTTATAAATAAATTAAAAGATTAGATAAACTTTTCTAAACTAGAATAATAATAGAATTATTTCTAAATTATAAATAAATATAAAAATAGAATTTATGAAATAATTAGAAAATTAGATTAATATTCGAATACTTATATTTATTATAGTATTATTATCTTTATAAAAGAGGATTATAAAGAAAGATACGAGAATAATTAGGCTTGACTTAGAAATAAAGGCTTTTAGAACTTTAATATAGGGTTATTATTAGGGTATTAAGTTATACTAAGGGAATAGCTAGAATTTACCTAGTAGAATAGATTCTATAAACTAGATAAAGACTTTTAGAACTTTAATATAAAGTTATTATTAAGATCTCGGGTTATATTAGAGTTACAGTTAGGTTCTACTTAGCTAGAAAGATCCTATAACTTGACTAAGGCCTTTAGAACTTTAATATAGAGTTACTACTAGAACTCTAGGTTATACTAGAGTTAAAGCTAAGCTCTACTCGTTTAAATAAACTTTATAGTATAGATAAAGGCTTTTAGGACTTTAATATCTAGTTACTATTAGAGTCTCAAGTTATATATAATATATAGTTATTTGGGATATTAAGACAAGGCTATTTATAGAATACTAGGGCCTCTTAGAGATAAGGGCCTAGAGGGGGGAATATTATAAGGAGCTAAAACGAGAGGAATATATGTAATAAAGTAAGCGGGCACCTAGTATCCTGTATATAGTTTCCTAGTTTAGTTAAGAATTATATAGAGTATTAGAGTACTGGATTATACTTCCTAATTAATTAAATAATCAGCGTTCCTCCCTTCGGGCGCTAGGGAGTATATAGGAATACGAACTAAGCTTTGAGGAAAGGGTATGGATTAGTCTATGTAATAGGAGTTACTTCTTGGAATAAGTTATACTTGTAAGCGTTACTCTCAAGTTCACTTACCTTGACTACTTGTGTATTACCCTGCTATTGTGCGCCTTATAGCTCCTTCCTCGGGATACTAGTTCTAGTTTAATAGCACGATTATATTCTCGTCGCTACTCTGGCCGACCTCCTTACAAAAGAGAGATTAGGGATTTAAGTAGCCGTTTGGTACCTTGTCTCCCACCGATTCTAAGGTCCTCCGCTTTCGAGACGGCAACTAGCTAGTAAGTACTCGGGTGAGTTCTTTGCCCTAGTTAAGGCATGCTACTTAGTACTTAGGGTTAAAGTACCTAATCGCCCGGATCTAGATAGCAAACTCTAGATCGGACATGCCCCTCTATACCTACGTATTCTGGACCAGCTCTTCCGGGATTAGGCCGAGGACTCTATACCTAAGCTCTTCCGAGAGCGTATGCCAGCGGGTTGTAAATCTTAGCCGGCTCGTAAACGTATTCCAATCCAACTTAGAGACCTTATTCTTAGCAACCTCCTTAATCCCTTCCGATCTAGGGTAGAGGAGGTCAAAGAAGAATCGTTTCCGCTAGGCTTGTCTAGTCTAGCCCTAGGGTAGAGGCGGTTCGTTCTTGATCTAGACCGATTCCGCTACGTAGTAGAGGTAGAACAACCGAACTATGCGGCACCGGTGCGTGATGGCCTTAAAACTCGTAGCTATATCGGCCGTCTTCACCTCGTCGTAGGCATAGTAGAAGTGTACGACCTCGCGCGGGAGCGTCTATAGACGGACGAGAGGCAGGGATCCGTTCCTCGATGTTGGACGAGAGGTGAGGAGGCCTTTCTCCTGCTAGCATCGGAAGAAGTCCTGCCAATCCTGAACGGCTCTCCGCCCGTAATGGCCATTACCGCCTTCTTCATCTTAGACTGAAGCGAGGGCTTGATCGGTCTATGCTCCCTCATTACCTCGTCAAACCATGGATGTACGGCTAGGGCTAGATCCCGTTCTACCCTCTACTCCTCTACTGCCATCTCCGAGTCGGAATCTGGGATTACCCTCCGTGCCGAGAGGTGCTTACGGCGGCTTAGGCGACCCTGAGCCTTTGCTACCCGGCCCTCCGCAACCGTACTCGCCTTCTTCGCCTTCTTCTCTACACATCTCCGTAGCCTCGTTCGATTCTTGCTCGTTGCTCGATATATAAGGCTCTCTAGATTAATCGGTTGTCCTGGATCGGCCTGGATCGGCCTGGATCGGCCTGGATCGACCTTTCTAGCTATGTTATGGCTGCTTCGTTAAGATCGCTCCCGTACGCTTAGCTACTCCGAGGAGGCGAGCTTAGCTTCTGAGGTTGGGTTAATAGCGGCGGTCGGTTTAAATCTAGGTATCTATCATCTTGCTGTGAGAGAGATTGCTGCTGAGGCCTCTGTTATTGACTCGTTTATTAGGAAGGAGATCTTAGGAGGGGTTATTGCGCGGCAAGGGCGTTTAAGACCTGCCGCTTGATTATCGTAGTTAGGAGGAAGGCCCCGAGCTTTAGACTTATCTCCGGGTCGGCGAATAGCTGAGTATCTATCCCTCGGTTAGCTATGACTTTACGGAACCATTGAAGGAGCCCTAGAAAGGTAATATAAGGAAGGAAATCAACCGTCATCTCGAACTATAAAGAGGAGGATATTAGTAAGAGAGAGATATAATAAGAGAGCGTATATAACAAGTGAAATATAAAGGTAGAAAAGAATGGGAAAAAAGGATATTTATAGCGCTATAGCCGGTAATACTAAGCCAATTATCAAAACTAAAGTACCTTGATTTTCAAGAGATTTTTTCTAAATTCTCGCTATTTTTCTTCTAAAGCGAGGTAGCTTACGAAACGAATCTACTTAGGAAATTAAAGCCAATCTAACTAAAAAAGAAAAATAATTTTTAAAAAAAGAAATCGAGATTAAAAAACCTTATATATTAAATTAATCGAGAAATATATTTTATATATAAAGCAACCCTCTCCTTTACTTCTCTTTTATAATTATATAAGTCTCTTTTAATAAAGTTTATTTCAATTTCTCGAAAATATAATACTTTTTATAAAGTATCTTATTCGTAAAATTCTTTTTTTTTTAAAATTATTATAAATATAATAAAGTATCTTTACTCTTTACTTTACTCTATTTACTCTATTTAACTAATAACTTAATATCTACTAGAATATTAATATTAATTATTTATTTTTTAGTATTAAAATAATAGATTTAGAAGCTTTTTACTTAGAGAAAGAAAAAAATAATCTTATGATATAAAAGATAATATAGAGTTCAGTTTTGTTTTCAATTATAATTCGATTACTAATGACCAATTTGCATCCTGCTATACTTTACTTAGTAAATTTAATAACCCTTCTTGGAAAGTTGACCAAATCCTTTAACCTCTTCCCCTTGTATGCAACTTGCATTTCAGCCCTCCCCTCCTCATTATACGCTACGCCCATAAATTCGTCATCGTACTCGCTCATGTTTCTTTTTCGGGCAAAAGCGTTTTTGTATTTTGCAGTCGCGGTGTCGGAGATGGGGCCCAAGATGAAGTCGGCTTGTTGGTGCAGATCTGGTTTTGCTGGAAACCCTTGATCAGTCGAGAGCCCATTCTTCCCGAGTCCAAGGCGGTTGGATATGATTCTCTATAAAGGAAACGAAATAGTAAGCAAGCGGTTAATGGTATCACTGCAGCGGTTACAGCAACTTGACTTACCATTCTCCATTCTTTTGTGGGTTTGCGGCCATAATGGTGGGCGTCACTTGCACTGGTATCGAGATACTTATTAGGCACCATCTGCTGGATAATAGCGCCCTTGCCTTGGTTGCCCTTTGCGTATTTTTCTCCATACTCTCGAGTCATTGCAAAGTATGTGACAGGCCTATCTTGATCGTCTACTTCGGATGCGGTATTAAAGTCTCCGGGCTTTCCATTCCCTTTCTCATCAACCGATGTGATGTGTCGCCAATTGTCCGGCTCATCGACCCATGCTTGTGCTCTCTTAGGCTCTACAGCCCTCCACAAGCTAGTCCATCCATGTGGCGGATCGTCAAAGTCGAAGGGACCAGAAGGGACGTACTCGTTTTGTGGGACATATTCTGTCGTTTTCGGTGCCGAAGACATGGATGTACTGGTGGAAGCCAAGGAAATGTTTGATGAAGCATGCGAGCTTGAAGTGTACACTGGCGTTGACTCCACCACTTCTTGCTTCCCTTCTGGCGGTGAAGCTTGTATCGGCTTAGGAGTACCTTGCTGAGCTGGGGCTTGCTGAGCTGTGTTTAGGCTGGCCAACCGTAGTGCAGCAGATAGTGGCGCAACAACCGCCCAGACGGCCCATGACAGGATTGTGCTTCCCACGCCTCCCCAACTCCAAGACGATGCCGCCGGCCCTCCCTTTTCCATTGAGGGAACTTTCTTCTTGTTCCTCCCGTGACCTCCATGGTCGTCAAAATTGATGGGGTCGTTTCCGCAGTATGCAAACACGTTCAAACCATCCCCAATCCCAATTGGATCAGGCGAAGTCCATCTCCCGAGCCAGGAAGCATAGTATCGAGCACCGCAATAGTCCAGCCCGGTTTCAACATCTCTCTCATAGCTGGCGTAACGATATTTACTCGGCGCTTCAACATCACTTCGACATGCGCGGTACGTCGTCGCGCCGAAGGGAGAGTACTCCTCGTATGAAATGACCTGACCTTTGTCATCCAACTCGAGACTACCGCCAAGCTGGTATCGCTCGAGCGTCTTGCCTTTGCTGTCGGACTCAATAAGCGCCACGCGGAAATCGCCAACGACATGAGATGTCTGCTTCTCCAACTGTATTGTTTTCCCATCACCCGCGAATGTGCGGTATACTTCATATGCCTGCAAGCATATGGTCTGCTTTATTTTGGTTGGTTGAGCTCCACCACGGGCTGCGCGTTCGGTCACTTTGCGCACTCGATTTCCATTCCCATCATACACAAACCAGGTTGTTTCTGGTGTTCCATTGTTCAGAATCTGGGTTGAGCAAGATCGCAACTTGTCGTGAGAATCCCATTGCAGAGACGAGAAGCCTGGCATCGAAGTCATGCATCCGTGACGGCCTGCATCATCGTCGTACCCGTATTTTTCCGTCGAGTTGCCAACAACTGTCTGACTCAGTCGGTTGCTCATGACCTTGTTATCAATGAAACTTGGCTCATTGTATGAGTACTTTCTTGTCCATCCTGCAATCTCAGGGTGACTTGACGCAGCATGACCCAGCTCCACAATGTTGCCTGCCAGGTCATACTTGTACGTTTCAGTATACTCGCAAAGCTGACTGCCATTTCCTGGGATGCCATCTCGGCTTCTTGGTGATGATGTGAAAGGCTTTAAGCTCTGCCCTCCGCCATTATCAGCATCGAATTGTTCTCGGCCACGAGCCTCAACGAGCCGTCCAAGCGCATCGTACGTGAATGACTGTGTAGGAGAGATCTTTGCGTTGCGGAAGTAGATATCTTGCTGCGCTGCATCCACTATGGAAGTGATCTTTCCTCGACAGTCGTATTTGTAGAACAAATCTTGCATTACAGTCCGATCGTCACGAGTTGTTCTCGTATTCGTCAACTGGAGGCTGATTGGATCGTACTTGTATTGAGTCTCCGAGCCGTTGCCATAATTGACAGACAGTCTTTGGCCATTAACAGAATAGGTCGCATCTTTGATGTAGGGCTTGAAAGATTGGGATGAGTTAGGAGGTGCCCAGCTGACTGATTTGGCCTGGCCAGTCAAGTTAAACTCTCGTCGAGTAGTACTTCCGTCTGGAGACACCGTGCTGAATGCGCGATTATAAGCGTCAAAATTGGCGCGTTCACCATAGACGGTGCTTTCCAGCTGCACTGTGTCTTCATCAGACCAGTTCAGCGTGTTCTTGTAGTCGATAGCAAGCTGAGTCTCCGAATGCAAGCAGTTCCCCTTGAAGTCAAACGCGACATTAGTCCTCACACCTGCCTGATCAAAAGATTTGACGACTTGCCCGCTCAGATTGCGTGCAGCCGCGTCCGAGATCGATTCGCCATAGATTGTCTTGCCAACCAGAATCTCAGACGCAGAGCCCAGCTTCAAGTACTCCCCTGTTGGCCTGCCAAGCGAGTCATATGTCGTCCGAGTCCGCATGTTCCTGGCGTCCCATCCTAGAACCTTTCGACCAAGAACATTGAAGAAGGTGAATCCTTCTGCTTTATCCATACTCGCTTGGTACATGCAGCGAGATAACAGATCATGACGGCTCTTGACAACTAGTCGATCGAGAGGATCCCAGACACCTGCCAATCTGCCGTAGAGATCGAATTCAGATCGACTGTGGAGCTCTTGAGAGCTGTTTTGAGCTATTGACAAGAATGTTCTGCCGGCCACGTCTAAGTGCGCGGTCGTCGGGAGGTCGTTGTACCTGGAAGACTTCGTTGCCGCATCCTGACCCCATTTATCACCCTTCACATGGGCATCAAACCATGAAGGTAGATAAGAGCTAGACTCCAGGCCTTTGAAGCTAGGCCCTATGTCAGGATCTTGCATAGGATCATTGATGAGAACGGTGTTCCCGGCGTCAAAAGTAGTCTGTGACCATGCATCAAAGCGTATCTTGCTCCAAGAATGGTCGGCATTCAATGTTCCAATCACCCGACCGATGGAATCACGCAGAAAGGTAGCTTGAGCTACCTGGCTACCGTCATCTGACTGGAATCGAAAGTCGTGCGTGTTGGAGAAGAATGGGCTGAATTGCTTGACTGGTTGCCCTTTGTTGTCGTGTATGACCCACCCATTGAATCTCCATTGGGCACCACCACTGCTCTGATCTGCCAATTCAACAACTTGGAATGGACTGCCATGGCCATTCATGTATGTGATCGTCACTAATATCTTTGCTTCGCTAGCCGGCGGGTTTGTCGACCCAAAATGTACGTCACGAGATATCACGGCCTCGAAACAAGGTACTTGAATTCCGCCAGTGCCCGTTCTGCCATACCGATGCGTGTCGGAAATCTTGCGAGAGCCCGCATTGCCCAGTAGCTGCTTGGTCAATGGTCCTAGCGGATCTTTGATGAATTGATCCAACTGATCTGTCGACAGCACAGGCGTAAGTCCATCGACTGAATCGCCCAGCCGTTCCGTGTCCTTGCCCATGACAGCGGATGCAGCGATTCCAGCCAATGGGGAAAACACGACTTTTTTTCGGTTGCCATTTGGATCAGTAGTGAGTGAAGCTTGGAGAGCAACATAATCGTTCGAGAATTCTGTCTTGTTACCCAGACTATCAGTCCGACTTATCGGAAGGAGCTTCAACTCATCTAAGTTTTCGTGTGCTGGATTGGCGAATGGATCTAGAACTGTGGTTGTCTGATAGAAGTTCTTTCGGGCTTCATTAAGTTCGTTGACTCCATCTCGACTGAACAAAGAGCGAGACGAGGGAACCCACGAATTGCCACTGGAGTCTAGATCCACGTATCCGGCAGCCTTCAGTGTTCCAACTAGGTCAGAAGCAGGCATGAGCAATTCTGTGCCTCTTGTGAGCAATCCCTTTAGCAAGGATTCAGTAGAAGCCAATTGAAAGCTCTGATCAAGCACGGAAAACTTCTGGATGATCCCATAGTCGAGTCTTCCAGACAGGTTGGATGTGCGATAGTAGGAGCGAGAGTCTGTCAGCAGCAACTTCTGCTTCCTTGTTGGGTCGATTTTTGGCTCCGGCTCGGAAGCAATCTCATCTGCTTCGCGAAAGAACGAAAACTCGTCTTTTGTCAACGCATCGAAAGAGAGACGCTGGGGAAGACTTGGTGCAAGTATCCGGTAACTGCGTGACCCTGCAGTGGATGGCCCACAAAAGTAATCGGCGTCCTCAATGGCATTTGTATAGTCGGTTTCCGAATAATTTACTATGCTCTCTTGTTGTTTGGCCCTATCCCGTGGGTCGGAAAGAGGGCTCTGAAGGCGACCATAGCTGACTGATGCAGATTTGACAGTGTTTCCAAATCGATCGACTTCGAGAGTGAAGGTGTGTTGGATGCGAGGATCATCCATCATTCGTTCGTAATTGCATGTTATCGTCTCTCGACCGACGACAGTGAAAACTCCGTGCAGGTCGTTTGTGCGCTTTTGGCGCATCTTGACTTCGTAATTCGATTCCGAGACAACGAATGGCCGTCCAGCTTTCGGAGACTGATCATCGCTGAAGAGCTCCTCCCTCAACAGCGACCCCTTGAGAGCCCTATGAGCTTCTCTAAAATCCGATGTTGACATATTCTCTGGAAGCTTTGAAGCTGAAAGCTGTTGAGATCCGAAGATATCCAGCAAAGAGGTCGTCTGCTGAAAAGCACCAGTGTGAAACCAACTCCTTCGGTGGACGGGAGGTTGCTGGTATCTAACACGATTGCCCACTGATTCTGCAAAGTCCTCGGCATCCCACTGCTCGACCATTGCGAAGCCCCGAAATTCCTTCTCAAAACCGTCATAGAAGCCATCGTGATACGCATATCTCGTCGAAATTGAAGCTTGCGCGATTCTATCATGTATGACTACTCGGTCCACACAATGGATCGGGAATGGTAATCGAGTCTGCCAGGGTATTCCTCGACGTTCATCGTCGTGGTAGTATTTGGTAGAAGGGCAATAACTGACAGTTGTTTCCATCCCAAAGCCATTCGAGTAAGCGGACAGCAAGTGTGATTTCGATCCGCCCGTCAGGTCAACATAGCGGAGACCTGTTGTCCCAAACTCGTCTGGAGCTACCCAACACAAGCAGCCTGTACCATTGCCTAATAGGTCAACGGCACTCACAGCAGACAGCTGGTCAAGTTGGGGGAATGTTGAAACAGTCTGAACCTCGCTCCAGCCATTTCCCGCCAGGTTGAAGTAGACATGTGCAGTGCCACCAGCTGGGAGATAGATCAAATCTGTAGTTCCAGAACCATCAACGTCGAGCAGCCGTAACCGATCTACGGAGAATTGATCCGAATGATCCATGTAAGGCGACTTATCCATCCTCACCAGGCTCCCAAACTTTCCATAACCCATATTTGGCCAATAAGAGATGTCACCATTGCGGATTCTCACAATGTCCGACAAGCCGTCTCCAGACATATCAGCAAGGGAAAAGCTTTCTTGCTCATCTCCAGTCTGTAAACTTGGCTTCTCTGCGCTGTTCATTGTTTGTCGTTGCGGCCCAAATCCTTCTGACTTGAGAGAAGGATACCATGCTACCTCCCCGTTCTCATCAATGCTCTGGACAATATCTGCGTTTCCACTGCCGGTTAGATCGACCCGTCTGAGGACTCGATTGTTCAAGTCCAGCGTCGGCAAAGTAGCAAATGGAACGAAGTTTGTCCAATCATCATCTTCGGTACGCTCAAAATACCCACGCATGTTACCAGACGAGTCCAAGACGACAAAATCCAGCCGTCCGTCATGATCAAGATCTTCAAAGAAGAATTGACCATCTTCCAGGCCGGCATTCGGCAAGATCGGTATTTGTCTGGGGGGACCAAAACATTTCTTCGAGTCGGGAAGGAAGCCAGAACATTCGTTTCTTTGATAATACCAGCCATTGCCTGGTATCATGGCGAGGATTCCTGGCGCACCCTCTCCATCTAGGTCCAGCCACTGAGACTTTGGATCATTCTGATGAGGTAGGTTGAGTACCGATGAGGCGTCTATCTCCGACAACGGCAGATCGTTCAGTTGGGCCATCTGTGTGTACTTGAGCTCTACCGGAGGCAAGCTTTCACTCAAATAGCTACCTTTACTATCTGGCATGTACCCCGATTCCGTTACCGACTTGAGAAGCGTGAATGCAGGCGACTCTTCATAATCGAGAATCACTGCCGAAACCAAACAATCATCCACGTCAAGCTTCTCAGGAATGTGATGAAACATCAATACTCTCCGGCACAGGCGATTGCTTCTAATCTCAAATCCACTCTTGTAAGAAGAGAATGGGTCGTTCCTCGATTTCCAGATGCCGACTTCGTGTGTGGTTGGTGTCGAAGCATCATATTCTCCATAGTCAAACACCACCTCGAACAACCATTGGTCTGATGAAGCGGTCGAGGGAGGAAGTACCTCCCAAGTCTTGAGATCTCGATTCGGCGTTCGATTTCCATATTTGATGCTCTTCATGTACTTGTTCGTTGAACGTGCCGTTGCATCTCGATGCTGCTCGCAAGCAAGCGTCAAATCGAGTCCGGACGAATCATCGGCTTTGTAAGTCAGAATGCTGCGATTGCCTTGAAGGTCGTAGGTCTCGCAGGCTAGCCATGAGAAGATTCGTTTCGAACCTCCGTTTCCATGGAAGATTTGCGATTCTTCATTGCGACCATAAATGGTCGTCGCCCCAGTCGCTGAAATTGTGCGCCAATAAATGTCGCCTGCATCCTTCGTGTTTAGCCATCTTTCGATTCTAGTCACACCTCCCTCGACCCGAGGCCGGTATCGACGAATAGCATAATCACCCACAGTGCGCTCGTCAAACATTGCTTGATCTCCAGATGCTGGTTCGTTTATCGTTGCATCGCGTAGCGCTGGCACCAAGTCCTCCGCATCCGACATCTGAAAAACATCCTCATCGCTGTAGAGCGGAACTCCAGTGGACGTCTTCCGAGAGATACTTCCTGCTGAGAGTTGCCATCCAAAGCCAAAGGGACCATTTCCGTTACCAGAGTCATATGTAAGTGCCAATGATGCGCCAGTTCCTGAACGACCTGGAGAAGTCGTTATCGGAATGGATAATGACATGGTCCCATTGACTGCATTGACTCCGAATTTCTCTCCGATTGCTCTTTGAGATCCTCCCCGCGTCCACTAGAAGGTAGAGCACCAGGAAGAAAACCATTTGAAGCTTCGGCATTCTCAGAAACATGGGATGCTCCCGATGTTGGTGATCCTGAAGGAAACTGTGGCAGTTGTGCGGTGCTCCCATCCCCGAGTGGCCTTCTAGTTACTGGCGATTTGTTAGCAGCCATGCTGATTATTTTGTGGCAGCCCAAGGAGACTCAGAATCAGAGCTTCATCAGATTTGAGCACTTGTCTTGAGTTAATCCTGTATGAACGTTACTCAGGATAGATTTGAAAACACTGCTACATTTGAGACGAAAGGCTAAGGCTGTGGTCGTAGGTGAGGCTGCCCATTTCTGGAAGTCACAGCTTGCTTCTCACACTCTGCAGACTGCATTCTCCGCCATGCAACAGTCGATAGCGGCCAGCCACGGCTTGCAAGCTCGAGCTGAAGTTCGAGCTTGAACCGCACCTCACATCTCATCTTGATAGCTGCATAATTCACACGCAAGCCACGGAGGTGGAGTAAGGTAGCTTTGCAGATTCAGCTGAATGCAGCACGCCGCAACGAGGAGAAGAGGAGCGAGCGGCACAAAAGAGGAGATGCCGGTAGTTCGACTTCGCGGGGACTGCCGGCGGATGGGTACGAGGCTTCTTGTCTGAGAACGTCACACGGCTTTGACCGTGAAGGCGCTGATCGAGGCGTCCCTGGCCCCAACAACTCAACGATGGGAGCTATGACAATCAATGCTCCCGGCGGTGATTTTATGCATCAAAAAATGACATTCCAATCATTGACAGAGCTATTTGCGCGGTAGATGACCTATCCAGAGCCATCTCTCTACTATCTAGGGCTTCAAGATTACATCAACGGGGTGCGCAAAGCTTTGGCTTGCCAGTCCCTCAACAGGTGGCCAGCTCTCTGTGATCTGGACGGGATAGGTTCCAGCGACTCCCGTATCTGCCAACAGGGCAAGAGTCACGCTGTTTCCAGGGCCAAGCTCAGCACCACCTCTCGCAATGAAAATCAGCTCAGTCATGCCACCCCCTGCTGCGTCCTGCATCAACTTGACATCTCCAAACCCACTGACAGATTTGTGGATGAGTTGGTACACATTCGACTGTGTACTCGCTGGTCTTTCCTCTTCTCCCACAGTAAACTGGGCGGGAGCAAACCTTGTAGATGTAACGAGGCCTTTTCCAGTTTTGTCTGCCACAATCACGATCTGGATTGAGTTCAGCGCAATAGGCTTCTCCGTCTGGTTTGTGCCTGTCAAAAGAATCTCGACAGCTTTTCCGGCGGCTTTGACGGGGCTGGAAGCTTCCCATGCCAGCTTCACCGTGGGCACGACGGTGGGAGCCTGGACTGGAGTTGTCTTGAAAGCGAATTGCGTAGCTGATGCAAGTTTAACGTTTGATGGAGTTGGAATGGTGATTTTACCGTGCTCAATCCTGTTGAATGGTCAGGAGCCGTCCCTAACTTATCACAATTCACGAATCAAATAATATTCCACTTACGGCATGTACTCAATCTCTGCCAGAATTTCGCCAGTATTTCCGATGCAGGGATCTGAGAATTTGAATGTGCCGTTGCCTGGGTACACAAATTTTCCGCTGGATTGGAATGCTTGTTGCAAATTCATCTCGAGCATGGCAACGTGTGTCGTTAATTGGCCAGATATAAAATTACGAATCCGCTGGTCTTGGCCCTCGGGCGTCCACGATTGCTGTATCTCGTGTTGAACGAATTCAACCTTGACATCACCATCTTTGTTAGCACCGGCATTGACAACGATTTTCATCACTCCATTGTCAATGTTATCGATCACGATGGACATATTCCATGTAAACCGGAACTTGTCTCTGAGAAGCGTGAGCACAATCGAACAATATCGAGTATGCAACAACTTACCTAAGGAAGCCAAACGGCCGAATCATCTGCTCGTTATCTGCCCATTCAATGTCATACCAGTACTCTGTGATACCTTGGACATCAAAGCTGCGCCCACCGGGCGTCCACTTGACAGTCACAGTCGGACTTCCTGCTCAGTCGAGGTTAGCGCAATCGAAGCGGCTTGCGAATAAGACGAACCTGCACTCTCAAAGCTGCCACAGACACCATTGTTCGGGTTTCTCGCAGGGGATGGACTCATTTTCATCCTATTGTCCTTGGTGAACATGTAAGATCTCGCATCGGATGGGGTTTGCGGGTCGAAGACCGGCTTGAAAGCAAAGATTGGGTCTTTCGAGTCATTATGCACTCCGTCGCTGCCAACAGAGTAGTTCCAGTGAATGGTGGACGTGTTTCCATCAAAAGTGGCACTCGGTATAGTTGGGAATACTTCTGACGTCTTGTTGAAAGGTTGAAGCATTGGCAATAGGAATGTTTCTAAGAACAATTGATGACTCAAGGCAAAAGTGCCATCAATGCGAGGTCCACCAATCGTGGCGGCTTGAGTGGTGAATATCCCTGTCGAGGCCAATTGCTTGTCATCTGGCAAAGGATGGCCCTGTACCATCTCACAGTACAGTAATGCGTTCAGATCGCCAGGAGGATCGTACGAAACGACCGGGTTTGGGACACCTTTCGCAGGATTTTTGTATGGGTAGATCTGGTGATACATGGCAGTCGGCTGATACGTTGGTTTGAGAGGATCGACTGGTGATCAAGTTTGGTCAACAAACGACACACTATGAGAGCAGCTCACTTACTTTGTGAAGGTGGGGGGAGAGTAAACTTATATCCCAGCGTTGTCAGCCCTTGAGTCTCCTGGGTTTTGACCCAGCGTCCCAACATGGTTTGGAGATCGATCTCGAGGAAAGGATATTGTTTAATCAGCATTCCCCAAGATCTCTTTTTGCCGTCAACTACCCCGAAGTTGGAATTGTTGAAATCAAAATCTTTCCAGTGCGCATCTGCATACACCTTCAGCAACTGTGTGCAACAGGAAGGATTGAGAAGGAGACCTACCAGATAGCTTGGCGAAGAGTCTTTCGATGGTGTAATCACCCGGGACATCGAACTTCTCCTGAATGAATTTCAACTGCGCCTCCTGGCGCGCTTTCTCGTCTGGGTCCGCATCTTGATTGACTACGACGCTCTGGTTGCCGAGGTCGATCGTGACTGCAAGTTCCCAACCGGCCATGTCTTCGATGATATCCGGATCATCTTCGTCGTCAGGCGGCATGGTCAGCGTACCACTGGCAAAGCTGTTCCAGGTGGTCAGGACGAGCAATAGTATGGTTGAAGGTCTGTGTCTGGCCTACTTACCGCATCACATAGAGGCACCTGGCCAGGGAAAGATCTGCTCCGAGACCACCACCAAGCAAGATGCGCGGGGAGAGCAATTCTGCATCAATGCTTCCAATGCGACGATTGCGAAAGGCAAGCTTCTTGAACTCGGGATACCGGTCGTAGAGGCCGTCGAATGAATCATTAATGATCTTTTGCGAGACGGCGACGACCTGATCATAATGGGAATGTGCTGTTGCAAGCGATGTCTTCAAGCGAAGCGTAGTGTCTGTGTCCATGACGGGCAAAGAAGTGAAGTGGAATGTAATGATGATGGTTGGAATTGAAACTCTGCTTGAGTGCAAGGAAGTGCAGACTCTGGTCTAATAGAAATATCAAACAAAATCACCTACCAGAGACGCCTTTTGAGAGAATTGCGAGCTCCAGCTTCCTGAACTCAGCTCTGAGAAGGCGTCCATCTCAACATGCGCCATGCGCCATGCTTTCGTAGAGCACTGCGAGAAGTAGCGTGAAAGAAGTGGGCGTACCATTGCAATCCTCTCAGGTGCATCAACGCAAGCCCTTCTTCTCGCAGTTGTGCGACAGCTCAAGGGCCAGAGAGTAAAAGGGATGCAGAGAGGGGTGGAGGTCAGCCCGAAGCGGCGTGGCTTCACGTAAGAAGCTGAGGTCAAACTGCATGTGTTCAGGTTGGTGGACGAAAGCGGGGAGTGCCGTGTGGAGAAGAGGAGAATGCTTGCGCTAAGTGCCGCCAGAGGGAAAGTCGCTAATTTGCCCATTTGCGGGAGCTTACGGAAAGCCGTAAGGATCAGAAGACCAAGCGATTTTCGAATCTGGTTTTCGACCTTCAATATCTGATTTGTGGCACGTGCGTATCCTACTAAAAATCGCCTGTAACCAAAATACCGCATTCTGCAGGCGTAACTACTTTATACTTATATATATATAACTTATATAGAGATAGCCAAAATAAAGCTATTTATAGTTACTAAATATATTAATATTTATATTTGTCTTTATTATAATATCTCTATTATTTTCTCTATCTCTACTTCTGCCTCTGCTCCCCTTTCTTAACTATTATTAATTCTTCTCTAATTTATATAGTCTATATAGTAAATTTTATAGATTATAAAGTATATTTTCCTTACTATTATTATTCACGCTATTATTTCCTATAATACTCGAAATATCTCTATTTTTATTATTCTCTTTATCCTTATTCTTACTTTCTTTCTCTCTTTCTCTCTTCCCCTTTATTAGTCTCTTTACTTTATTACTTTATTTCGAGGGTATTTATAGTTTTAAAGATTGAGGTTTTATAGAGGCTAACTTAAAAAGAGCTAGATCTTTTAGTATTATATTAAGGCAATATAAAGTATATATTTTACTATTATTATTATATTTATAATTATAATAGATTTAATTAAATTTGTTCTAAACTTATATATATTTCTGCTATAAGCCTTTAAAGTTCTTTTTTATATAATTAATATAAAATATAGATACTAAATAGCCTCGAGTTTAATTATATATTACCTCTAGATTTATTATAATCTTTAGATTATCTAAGTTAACTAGCTTCTTTTTAGAATAAAACTTTATATCTTAAATCTCTAGTATTTTATAAATATTCTTTATAACTTATATTATCTTATTAGAGATATTAAAAAGCTCGAAATAGTATTATTTATTAGTAGTAATAAAAGAAAGCTATAAGATATTTAAGGAAAAAAGAAGATTTAATAGATTTAATAAATTATTATTCTAATATTTAATTAGTACTATATTCTAGTCTTTTATATAAGGAAAATATAACTTACTATTTCTTTATAATATCTCGAGTTTTTAAGCATTTATATTTAAGCTATATTATATTATTTATTTTTATTAAATAAGTATAGATTATTAATATTACTAATATTATATATATTATATATTTTTTTCTTTTAAGAATTTCTTTAGTAATATAATAAAGAATTATCTTTATTTTATAGTAGAAAGGAAAGCTTAAATAATACTTAAAAAAAGAAATAAAGAAATAAAAAGAAGGTTAAATATAGTATTATAATTAAAAGAAAGAAAATTAATTAAAAGAAAAAGAAAGCTTTTTTATAATACTTTTTTCCCGAAAAATAATTATAAATTTAAAGTTACTTTTATATTATAAAGACCTAAAAAATATAAAAGAATAAATTTATAAATAAATTAAAAAATTAAATTAACTTTTCTAAGCTTTTTCTTTTATAAAGTAATAATAGATTTATAAATAGAAGTAATAATAGAATTAATAAACTAATTAAAAGATAAAATTAATTTTATAAATAATAATATCTATTATACTAATATTATTTTTATAAAAAGAAATTATAAGATATAATTTTCGAGCTAAATAGGTAAGTCAGATAAACTATATTTATAGGTCTATTACTAATATAATATTAGAGTATAGATAGAGAATTTCTAGTTAAATTTAAAAAATATAAAATTAGATTAGAAAGCTTAATAATTTTGAAATTATATAAATAATAAGTTATTTTCTCTAAATTTTATATTAGTTTCTTGAATTCAGAAAATTATATAATTATATAATACTAAAAATAAGCTTTTTTTATATATAAGAAATAAAATATTAGTATTATTTTATAATCTAGATATAGTATATCTAGATAATATAATATAAAAATAAAACTATTTTTAGTAGTTATAATATTATATTTTATATAAATATAAAAGTAAAGTTTTTATATTAGTATAAACTAATATTTAAAAACTATATATTTTCTTTCTTTCTTATTTTTTTATTTCTAATTTTTATTATTATAATTTATAAATTATACTATATTATAGAAACTAATAGAATTAATCTTTAATTATAGGAATAATATTAAGCTTAAATTAAAGAACTCTATTATATTTAAAAGAAAACTTTTTAGAATATTAGATATATCTTATAACTAGAAGAATTTAATACTAGTAAAACTAGTTATATTACTTAATTATAATAATAAAATACTGAACTTTCTCTGAATTAATAGCAAATAAAATATAAAATATATCTCTATAATAAGAAACTAGTTAAAATAGTATATTACTTCTAATATTAGAATTATTTATCTAAATATATATTTTGGATCTTTAATTATAAACTTAATTACTTTAGGCTTAATATATATATCCTAATAATAATTTAGTATTATTATAAGCTTTAGCTAAGATAAAATCGATTTAATATTAAATATATTAATACCTTTAAAAAAGCTAAAGAATTTATTTTTAAAGAACTAAAAAGTAGTTAATTAATCTAATATAGCTATAGAAAAATATATTACTAGATTTAAAAGAATACTAGTAAATTTATATTCTATAAGAAAATATAGTAAATATTTAGGATATTAGATAAAATAAATATAAAAATTAGAAATATAAAAGATTTACTATTAAAAGGCCAGATTAATATTAGTTTATAGATAAATATAATAAGTTATTTTATTATAGCTTCTAGATCTATAATATTATTAATATATATTCTCGAATAATTTTTAGTATTTTTATTAGTATATTAAATTATATATAGATTACTATTCTAAAGTTCTATTTCTTTTATATTAGAGAATAAAACTACTTTCTAAAAAGGTTATAAGCTAATAAAGACTAGAAGATACTACTTATAGTAATTATATAAATCGAGCTCTGGCAATTAGTAAAGAGTTATAATTTACTATAAAAAAAGACCTTTATTTATAAGCCTTTAATAAATAATTAGTATATTAAGATATAGTAAAATATTTTAGCTAGTAGGCTTATAGAAATCTAGAGATAGTTCTTTAAATATTTTTATAATACAAGTATCTTTAATAGAAAGTCTTACTATAATCTAATTACTATTTAATTTATTTATATAAATACTTTTTACTAATAGATTAATAACTTTATTCTTTTTTATAATATTAGTTTAATTTATTCTTAGTAAATAAAAGCTAATTACTTCTAACCTAAAATTCTAGAAAAGCTATATAATTATTACTAGAAAGTTTATTATTATAGTATTTCTCTAATAGAAAATAACTAAATAATTACTTTCTAAACTTAAAAAGAAAATTATAGGATATAATTATATAATATATTAAATTACCGAAATTAATAAGCTTTATATAATTTTCTTTAAAAATACTAATATTATATATACTATAAATAAACTTAAAGTAAAGCTAGATTAAGACTATATTAAAATATATTAGTTCTTTTATTATATTTTTAAACTTTATAAAAAGAGAGTTAGAAAGCTTCTATTTAATATTAAGCCTTCTTATAAAGAAAATAAGTAATTAGAAATAGTTTAAAAAGCGAAATAGAGACTAGAAGATATAATTATAATAAATTAAGAACTAGAAAATATTAAAAAAGATAATCTTAATAGTAAGATTTCTATAGATAATAAGAAATAATATAAAAATAATTTAGAAGATTTAGAAAATAAAGAAATCTTAAATAACTTATTTAATAACTAATATTTAAGCTATAAAAGTTTATTTATATTAAACTTTTTAAAAGTAATATTATAACTATATATAAAAATATAATTCCTTTAAATTAATATAAGAAATTATATAATTATATTACTTTATAGAATTAACTAGCTATAAAAATACTTTAAAGCCAGAAACTTATAAAGAGTCTTAAAAGCTTTAAAGTATCCGAACTATTACTAGTATCTAGTATTTTTTAAGAAAAGAATATAATATATTCTATAATAAATAACTTATTATAAACTATTTAATCTTTAAATTAAGCGGAAAATCTAAAAGCTAGACTTGTAATTCAAGTCTTATTAAGGTTATTAAAGTCTTTACTAGCTAGTATTATAGATTTAATATAAATATTACAAGAATTCTATAAATTCTATTCTAATTTATTTAGAAAATATATATAATATATTACTATATTTATTTTATTAATATTTATATATAATTCCTAAAAGCCGAACTATTATCTAAAAAGAAAATAAGAAGGCTAGATTAATACTTTTAAAAACTAAGCCTTAATAAATCTATCTAGAAAAGCTTACTAATTCTTCTAAAAATAACTTAAACTTTAATAAGCTAGAAAATTTTAAGTTTATTATATATTATAACTTATATAACTAGAAATAGAAACTTGAGTTTATTATATAGAATTATTTATATATAAAGATTTCTGTTATAAACTTCTTATTTAAATTAATTAGTTAAATCTATTTTTAATACTAAGTTTTTATTAGAATAACTTTCTATTTTTAGAG